GTCGGACGTGTAGTTTACAAGATCATTCGCGGAAAAGATTTTCCCAGGAAGAAGAAAAATAATAATAATAATAATAATAATAAGAAACAGAGTAAAAACAATATGTTCCCCAACTTCGTTTGGGGAACATAATAAAGAGCCCTTCAGATAAAAACAGAAAATCTCACTAGACAAACAGCAATAAGTTTCTTGCTACAGTTGTTTGTTTGCATCGTTGATGAATTTCTTTTGGTAAAAAACTCACAATTCTCTAAATAGGTGACTTCAATTGGGTACCCTGTGTGGAAGAAAGGAAAATTAACATAAACTGCGCATAGTATCTCAAAGTGCAATTTGTGAATGCAATTGAAATAATTTACAAGAAATTATGAAATACCGGTAATGTTTTCAATAAATTTGTATTGATATTTCTAAATTTTAAAATAAACATTTTCAAAAATATAGTAATATTAAAACAAGCAAATTCAAAGAATTGTGGTCCCCCGCTTTCGGTGTCTTTTTTTTGGGTGAGATGTAATTTTTTAAGACATTTTGTGTTAAATATGAACGCCCTATCATAAGTCATCCATTTAGAAATTATCACTGAACTCCATGGTCGAGATCAAAGGGGTAACGTTCTTGGTATCCAATGAAAAGTCTTCTCAAAATGATTACATATGTGAAGTATGAAAGTCCTAACCCTTACCATTCAAAAGTTATGGTCAAGGTTAAAGTTTTCTCATAAGTATGAAAAATCTCCAAGGTCAAGGTCAAAAGGTCAAGGTTGTTGGTATCAAAGGAAAGGTCTTGCCACAAAGAATGCATATGTAAAATATGAAAGTCTTAGTCCCTTCCATTCAAAAGTTATGGCCAAAGTAAAAGTTAAGAATTTTGTGTAAAAGTGGATGAAACTCCAAGGTCAAGGTCAAAAGGTCAAATTTGGTGGTACCCAAAGAAAGGTCTTGTCAAAAGGAATACACATGTGAAATATGAAAGTCACAACTCCACTTAATAAAAAGTTATGGGCAAGGTTAAAGTTTTCGTGACGGACGGACAGCTAGACGGACGGACGGACAGACGAATGAGATTTAATGTCCCCTCGCTTTCGCGAAAGCGGGGGACAATAATTGTAGATAACAGACTTGCTGGATACGTCAATACGGTATAAAATTTGGTCTAACAAGTATCAGATTAGCTTTATTTTTAGGTCACTCCGTTTTTTTTTTTTACAGTTAAAAACTGAGTGGATTGCAATCTTGTGTCAAGCTCCATGTAAGTGCCAATGTACTCTGTTGTAAATAAATGTAATACAAGTATTTTGCTTTAATCTATAAAATTTAGCACAATTGAATGATCTTCTACAACATGGCAACTTTTCTATTTAATTGCTTCTATGAAATACAAACCCAGTGTTATTTGTTTTATGATTTTTAAAGCTGTAGAAGAGTCATGGTCAAAGAGTCCAAGTTCGATACTAGAACATGTATATAAAATAAGTTTCTAGAGCATGTATGAGACCGAGAATATATTCATATCTAATATACTTGTTAAACCAATTAATTGTATACCCTATTGTGATATCAAACAAGCTATTAAAAATACCACCGATATCTAAATATAAAGAGTTTTGTTCAGATACTACATGTACCACTAATACCTTTATCTACAGATTTGTACATTTGTCTACGGATGCCAATCCAAAATATATAAATGTTTGAAAATTGATTCTGTATCTCATTGCATTTGCTCCTTGGATCATCTAAATTGGCTTCACCATCTAAATAACCATTTCCTCTCAGACACATAGCAATAGCATCAGCCCAACTGCCTCCAGTGCTTGCTGAAATGCGGGGATATGATGGATTCATTGATTTAGTTTATTTAATTTAGTTTAGTTTAGTTTATTAAATGCATAAGTAATTAGAAGAGTTGTTTTTCAATCTGATTTTAAGCAGATCAAGTTGTTCTTTTTCAAAACACAAATAATTCAGAAACGTATATTAAAGGAAAAAAATATGATATCTATTTGTAAACTGACTATAATTGTTAGAACAGTACGGAATCAATGGAACTCTACAATCTTCAGTCTTAAAATATTTGTGTCCAAAGCAGACTATGCTCATACACAGACCATGGGTGCCTTTAACTGAAAAAAAGTAAAAAGTTCTGTTATAAATGGAGTGAATCTCGTAAATTATATCATTTTAATAGAGTACATATAATTAATAGTGTTTATTAAAGTTACATTTCTTTGTTCTAGGTACTGTCCGCGCATTCATTTCAATCAGACTTTTGTCAAAAGACTTGCTACTTATACCGGTAATATACAAACTACCGGGTATTTAATTTAATTTAATTTTGTTTCGCAAAATTTAAGTGAATTGGAGGCCCAAGGTCAATTTTAATTTGTACGAATTAGTAAATCAAAATAATGTTTATGTAACCACTTATCTTTTCTATTAGCATATGGCAAAAACAAATTGAATTTTAAAGGGATTTTTAGAACTGGTCTATATTCAGCGTTCAGCCAAGATATTCTTACCTGATGTATTAGTTGTTTTGTAAACACTCAGATATGGTCCTGTTTTGCTACCACAGGCCTTTGGTTCCTCCGAGTTACAGTTATAATCACAGTTGGTTACCGAGGCTGTGTCTGGTAAATTAAAGTCAGGTTTGAGGCAGTAACATGTTTCTTCCTAAAAAAAACATCGCTTATATCATAATGATTAATGCTTAAGTTAACTGATTGAATAGACTTCAGTGAACACGCAACTAAATTAATAAAGTCTCACTAAAATTCACATGTTTGGTTTTTTGATAAAAACGAAACATGAATTCTAAATTTTTTCAGCAAAAATATAAAGTATTTCCACAAAATTAAATTTTACATTATTAACACTGCTGGTAAAGTGCGAATCGAGAAAATCTTGGTTTCGGACACCAGCTACTATTGGCTCCTGTGAAATATCTAGTTAAATACATGTTTTTTGATATAAGTTTAAAAATCACTTTCTTGAAAGCAAATTTATTAAAATGTTAAGCGGTTGGATTGCTTTAATACCCCAAAATGCTCAATATCGAAACGTTACATGTAAGTGGCTGTTTACGTCGTGTTTTTCATGTACTCTCATTCGAATGATGCATTAAGTACTACAGGACTGATTGGACAGTTAAGAGGGTAAATTTAACTTTAATTCAACGTTATTTAATGCCGTGGACACAAACAATGTGCTTTAAATTAAATTAAAATCCAGGCTTTTTGATATCATTGACAGCTGCTTCTTCAACAAAAATGGAACTCGTAAATTTACTTACCTCGTCATTGGTCATTTGAAAAATTATTTTGTTAAAACAGATTCTAATTGCACACATAAGTACTCTGAAGTTGACATCAAGAAGATGCTTGAGTTTCTGATTGACAATATCTATGTGGTTTTTGGAGACCAGGTATTCCAACAATCTATTGGAATTCCCATGGGTACAAATTGCGCTCCGTTATTAGCAGACTTATTTTTATATTCATATGAAGCAGAATTTATGCAAAATCTTATGCGTGAAAAGAAGAAAACACTTGCTTTGGCCTTCAACTCGACATTTAGATATATCGACGACGTATTGTCAATTAATAATGATAATTTCCATTCCTACGTCGACACGATATATCCTGGTGAGCTTGAGATAAAAGATACCACAGAGTCCGACACTTCTGCTTCTTACTTGGATATTTTACTTGATAAAGACACTAATGGTAATCTAACAACCAAGCTCTATGATAAACGTGATGACTTTAACTTTTCTATCGTCAACTTCCCTTACTTATGCAGCAATATACCTTCATCACCTGCATATCTCAGTTGATTCGATACGCAAGAGCATGCTCTACGTATGAACAATTTCTTAAACGAGGTAAATTATTGACAAGCAAGTTGATGAAACAAGAATATCAACAGTCTCGTTTAAAGTCATCATTTCGTAAATTCTATGGTCGATACAATGACCTTGTCAGCAAATACAATTTATCATTGAATGAAATGCTGACTGACGTTTTTCATACCAATTGTTAGTCCATTATTTATACACTGAATTGACGACGGATTTTTTCCGTTATTTCCTGATTATGACAACAAGCACACGGCGGGTGTGACCGGTCGGCAGGGGATGCTCACTCCTCCATGGCACCTGATCCCACCTCTGATGTCTCGGAGGTCTGTGTTTGCTCTGCTCTTATTTTGTATATTGTTTAATGGACGTTGAGAATGAATACTGTTCGTTATTTCCATATCCTTCTTTCATGGAATTAGTCAATTACTAGTAAATTCATTTTGTAGGTGCTACAATTGGTTTCTGTAAAATTTTGACACAGGCGACTTTTTATTTGTGTAAATGCGACAACTGGTTTACGTCTCTGAGACTGTTGGTTTATGTTACTTAAAGTACATATTATGAAATTATTCAAAATTGCATGAAAAGAATAATAGTTTTTGTAGTTTATAGTCATTTCTGACCATTTCTTGCACCAATAGGAAATGTTCCATCAATTCTTGTTACGGATATTGTGGGTTTTTTTGTTATATTCTTTTGTTACTTTTAAATGGAGTGATATGGTATAAATGAGCAAGATGATGACACCAAATAATTTAAAACTGCACCAGGTATACATATACGAATGTCGTGATGAAGCGATCAAACTTTTTAAAGCAGTAAACGAATGCATAATGGTAATATTTCCCCTTGCAATTTATTTATTCAAAGCATGATGTTTGCATCCGTAGAACTGTGTTGCATGTAGTCTACATTTATCCAGTTACATCTCAGGCACGAAATATGCAATTTGGGTTGTACTTTATTTTCTGAAAATAGTCTTTTGGTTTAGTTTTGATTCATGTTTATAATTTTTCATGTAGACATGGCCCCCCCCCAACTTTTTTTTAACCGTAAGGTAGCTGCATTTCTGTAACTCGCTGGTCTGAAAAAAAAATGAGATAGACTACCGAAGTGCTACAGTGCCACCCAACCAAAAAATCTGTTAAAAAATTGCGCCCAAAAGCTGCGATTGATACTTGATTAATTCCTCCAAATTCTTATCTCAACTGCACAAAAGCTAAAAAAAAATCATGACCTCTAGAATTCTTCACGAAGTGTGTTGCAATTGAAACATTTTGTCTCTTGTCATCTGCAGAAAAAATGCGAAATTGGCTGGTCTCAATTTCATGGAGGGCTATTTACAACAGTTATTTGTTGTGGAAATAGTAAGTGGAAATTGTAAAGGAATTTATTTGGAACACCCAGTTAGAAATATTTTTTTAGAATATGACAGTTTGAATCCGAGAAGCAGCACACTTTCATGCACAATAAATACCGGTATACATTTTTTCCAGCTCTCCCGTCTTCGGACAGATACAGTTCTGCAGCTAACCGTAAGATTTGCAAACCCAGCCGTTGTCATCTTCGCTAGCCAAGGGTTTCTAATACGCTACTCTCCTCAGTTTATGCGGAAAGTAGCGTATGAGAAACCCTTCGATAGCAAAGATGGCCGTTGTGGAAAAATGGAATAGTTAGAGAAAGGTCCCCAACACACGATAAAATAGGACTGTTCTTCCTAGCTGCAGAACGGAAGCGTTATGATTTTATATTTAAGTCTTTATAGTCAAAGATGAAAACATGAAACCATTAGTTAACACTACAGTTCTGGAGCTGTGTTCTCCCAATATTGGACATTTTTTGTTGGGTTGTCAATCACCTGCGGCCCTTATCCTTCCTACACATACATTGAAAAATAATGTCACAGGTCTCTATGTTTAATAAATAGACCGATGTCTTTATGTCATTCAAATATGAGAATATTTTGTTGAGATATTAAAATATTCCATACAAGTTAATTATCTGAAATACTTAATGCCATCTTTCCAAGTCAAAGGTTAAAACTATTCATGGAGGAGATGTAAAAGTAAAACACTCTTACATGCATCAACAACTATTCCCTTCAAATACATGAAGGGTCATGACTCCCATTCTTATTAAAGAGAGGTCAATCTTTTTTCCTTGGGGGGTATGGGGTTCCAAGGTCTTTTTTGTTTCTTCTGCATGCATAGAAAGTTTGTAACTTTGAAGTTCTAGATAGTCAATCGAAGATGACTTGAATACAACATGAATCTAGAATTATTTAAAATTGAACTTTTGGATTAGAGCCTTAATGAACATAAAAACTCCAGTAACATATTTTCAGTAAAGTAAGTTCATGATTTTTAAGAGTGTTATCCAATATAAACTAATCAGAGTGAATTTTAAATCCTTTATTTTTTTCACATGATAGAACAATTTATGTTGGGGGGGGGGGGGGTATATGCAATACATTTTAAATATTTAATAGAAGCAACCAATCCTCGAATTGGAGGTATATATTTTGGGGGTTATTCAAGAAAGTTGCACTATCTGATGTGTCGATATTAAATTTAAACGTATTTCTCGGATAACAATAAATTTATGATACAGCAGTAAAACGTCGCACCTCATGAAACAGAACAGAAGCCAGTCGTAGCAATTACACGTGTCAAGAGTCGCACATACAGCAACCATACTCGCAATGTTATCAGAAAACTTTATATTACATCAAAAGTTTTAATCTTATGAAACATAAAAGAAACAGGAAATCATAAATGATTCATATAGTATATACTCATATCACTTTTAACACAAATAACGTACCGTTAATCGAGTTTAACACGTTAAAAGCAAATATGAATAATCTAGCAAAATACATAGAACGGGTGTAATCTAAAGCAGTTACTGGATTGCTCCTTACATGTTTTCAACTAACAAGCAATGCTACTGCATGAAACCATACTGAACATTAATAATTTACGTCATAATCAAATGTTCTATCATTTCTGATAGTTAAGTTGACATAAACTGCCTCATTGATGTAAACCAATAGTAGCTGGTGTTCGAAACCAATATTTTCTCGATTCAAGAATATATACTGAGAAGGTTGAGAAAAAGAATTTTTTCTTCTTCTTTGGTTTAAGCAGTTCAGAGTAGAAGGACACAGAGACAATGATTAGCATGAAAAAGGGATTAAATATGCCTACATAACTACATATACATTATAATCTCTTCTAACGTATGGTAGAGCAAATTTTTGTGAAACGATTATACATCCCTTATAATGTATAGTGGGGTCTACGTTGTGAAATGATCATTTTAGGGTTTACACGATTTTTTCCTATGGTACATTTGATGAATAAATTTAATAAATATAATTTGTGAAAATATTTCCAAGTCGGGGGAGGGTGGGGGTGTCTCGTCCACAAGTACCTGTGATTCAAACAACATAAAAATAATTAATCTTACATTGGTAATATCCTTTACATACCTTGATAGCAAAAAATAAAGACATTTTTTCATAGAAACAATATTCTTGACAGCGTCCCGGTGTTAGACCGATGGTAAAGTTTGTAGATGAGAAGAGCTTGTTTTCAATACTGGCCTTACTGTAGCAACCTGTATTGTACATAATAAAAACAACATTAATAAAATAAAAAAAATTCAGTTAACTTAGAATAGATCAACACAATTAATATTTTATTGCTCCGAAAACAAACAAAAAGGAAAATTTGTATCAACCTAAGATATGGATCCATTCGGAAACTTTCTGTATGTCGCCGAGCCAGAAATCGCCCGACACTTTCTCCAGAACTTCCTGAAGGTAGAGAGAGAAGTCGTTCGAGCTGAGAAGTCGTCCATTCTTTTCTGCACACTGTCTCTGTCCCTCTAACCACGTTACTGCTTCATTTGATATGACTAGTGCACGTGTATTGTTCTCGCTATCTATATGAAAAAATTCAAATCAACATAAAAATATAAAATCCCAAAGTTTTGTTCGGTGTGTTTGATCAAAATTCTTCAAAGACCTTGTTCCCTATCATAATTATACCCCTTCCCCCTCTTGAAAAATGGAAGGATATACAGTGTTCGGATGCCCGCCCGTCCTTCTATCCTTTTGTCTGTTACGCTAAGGGGTACCCATCTTTTATCCGCAACTCCTCTTCTACCACTGCATGAAATTTACTAGACTTTCACAGAATCTTTGTTACACAGAACCAATGTGAACTTCCTATTTTACGTTTTGATTGGATACATATTTCGGGTTAGCAATAGCAAAACACAGAACCCTGCCATTCTCTCCGTAATATTAAAGGGTACGTACCCATCTCAAGATTATCCACAAAATAAAATTTAATGATTTCTTTCAAAGATTCTTAATGCCATTGTGCACCACCAATATCACTTTTTGATCTGACACTTTAATATTTCGGATGTCCACAGCCAAACATGACATTATAATCGTATGGGGGTATCATTTAGTGAGACTTAGTAAAATTTGCTGAATTGGAAGCCATTTTTGGAGGAAAAATTGTCTTATAATTCCTACACTGAAATTGAATTTCGTATATGGAATGAGGTTATTTTAACCTGTGATATACGATGTAACATAACTTGGGGAAGTTTAAGCTTTTTTTAATAAACCGCTTCGCGGGTAGTAAACTACCCCAAGTTATGTTATATCGTATAACGTGGGTTGAAATTAATAAGCTTTATTCCTTAAACAACCTTTATTACATATTGCCATTATGCACCTCCTATCTTACTTTTTAATCCATTTCGGTTCTCCCATAGCAAAACATGGACTTAGCCATTATAATCATATGGGAGGTGGGAAGTCATCATTTATTGGGCTCTCAGACGGACGGACGGACATCCCTATCACTACATACCCTCCCATATTTCAATCGGGGTATAAAAAAAATTGCACGGTTACATATTTCTACGAGCTAGGATCAATCTTAAATCTAGTGGTAAAAAATATACCGAAATAAAAGTAACATAATAACATAAATGCAGAAATTGCACAACTAGGACAACAGAAGAATGTGGTCGCACATATATACTTTAAAAAACAGGTGAAGGAATATACATACATGTATATTACCAAAGTACTCTTACCTACTGTTCTTAGAATAATAACAAGTACATGTAATAACAGCAGTGGTTTACAGTGTACATGCAACATCTTCGCAATCCATCTAGGCTTTGTCAGCTTAATTTTATCTCACAACGTACACGTTTCCTTAAAGGTTTAGGCATTTCTGAAACGGGAAGCTGAGTCCCACAATAAAATATTCACAAATTGTTTAAAACGACTTTTTTTTATTTTTATATTTTCCTATCGGGAAGTTTTTTTTATATATAGATATAATATATAATATGTAATACATATTAATTATATGATTTATATCATTTCAGTAAGGATATCCCTTCCTCAGACAGGTAGGCTAATTCTTAAAAATCTGTTATTGAATTTAACAAAAATGTAAATATTTGTGCAACAATTTTCATTTTATACATCTCAATTATACAAAAAATTCAAGGTTCCAAATTTGAAGTCTAAGAAACAGACTTACAAAAGTTTACAACTGTACGCCATAAAATGAAAATATATGGAGATAACGAACATTAATTCAAGCTCAAAAGTTCATTCAAACAGGGTCAGAGCAAAACATTACAGGTGGGATCAGTTACCATGGAGGAGTGAACATCCCCTGCCGACCGGTCACATCCTCGTGTGCTCCTTGTCATGATTGGGAAAATCCGTAGACAAATCCGAAAGCATGTAAATAATGGCCTAACAATTAGTATAAAAACCTCATTCAGCATTTGACTTAATGATATATTAAAGTTAGAATTACCAAGATTAAAGTTGGAAAAGCTAAGATTAAAATTCGAATTATCAACTTATATTACATGGCACTTATACGCTTCTACGACTTTTTTCATACTGATTTTTTGTGTTTTCCCCATCATGACGAGAACACATGCAGCAATACGACTGGTAGGCAATCGATGCCATCTCCTCCATGGCACATGATACAAATTCTGAAAGTTTTTTTTCCAGAAGTCTATAGGCTTATTGCTTTGCTCTCGATTTGTGTAATTTTAATGAACTTCTGAGCTTAATTGCATTTGTTATCTCTATATTTTTATGCTAAATAATTACGGAGTTCTAAAATCATTGCGTTTGTTTATTATCTCTATATTTCTAGATAATAACAGAGTTCTAAAATTATAATTTGTTGTAATATCATAGGGGTAGGATATGAATATAAAATGTCCCTTAAGTGACAAAATTAAATAAAACTCATACCTTTCATTATGAAGACCACAAATTTTTGTGTGTGTGTGTGTTTATGTCTTCAAATGATAAATATTGAGGAAATAAGTGTTATAGTTTCTTCAATGAATACTGAGGAAATAGGTGTCTTGGCTGATAACTCCTTCCTGATTTTCTTTTATGATTATTCTTAAAATCATTTTTGTTAGCTTGGTTAAATACTACCACTACTAGTATGTTTAGGAAAAGTCAATAACTTCTCACACGTTTTCAAATATGCTTTTATTATGAAAGTAATTTAAAATGAACAAAATATTCATCTAACAATCAAACAAATAATTGGCACAAACATATCAATTATGCATGTATATCCAGGAAATCAACTTAACGACATTTCAAAGTTTCAGACACAAATGACATGGCAATTTGATAATACCCTATGATTTTTTTATTCCATTCTTCCCTGAATTTTGTCTTGTATGATGTCATTTGAAATATCCTGCATTTGATTAATGACGTCATCACTGTATGCCATCTGACAAGTTTTCTGTTCCTGACAATTATCATAATAAAGTCCACTTTCTCTCTCCACATCTGGTGATAAAGCCAAAAACAGTATAGTATCAGCGCCCTCTGGTGGTGTCTACCAAGATAATATTTATATATATATATATATATATATATATATATATATATATATATATATATATATATATATATATATATATATATATATATATATATATATATAATGCAGAACTTCTTTTTTAGCTGCAATAATGTAGGCTACAATATTGCAGCTACTCAATAAAATATTTGCACAATCTGAATAAAGAAAATGCAAAAGTCCAATGTTTATGCAGATTTATCTTTCTTTTACTCATATACACCTCTTTACTTCATATGAATAGAGATATTGAGAGATATCCATCTGATATCTGAGTGAAAGGAACAAATACTTTGTATAGATATTGGAAAACTACGTCAGAATTCAGATAGTTGGCCTCAGAATATAATAACTGAGCCTGAAGTAGTAAGCAGTTAAACAGCATTGCTCAAAATGTTGCACTTGCCTTCTTAATTTAGAAAATCCATGAATACAAATTTATTTCAAACAAAATGCTTACATCTCAAACTTACCAAATAAGTGAACTTAGCTACAATATCCAGAAGCCACTTGATGGACCAGTGAACATGTCTGTAGAGAGCTGTATTAACAATGCCAGGATGTAGGGCATTGACTGTCACCTTTGAATTTTCTTGTTTTAGTTGTTCACTTAGACCCCAGGAGGAGAGGGCTATGTAAAGTTTGGAATCTGCATAAGCTGCATGAGGTGAATATTCCCACCAGTTTGAACACCTATAGGTAGACATTATTAGTTGCTAAAGAATAAAGATATGTCAGGACAAGCATGTTGATGAATAACAAAAAGAAATTTTTCTTTAAAAATTCAAATATCTTTACTTAAAAAGGTGACTCTTCGCAATAAAAAAGTTCTTTCTGTTAGGTTAACCAACTTCATGTTTGAACAAATCACACAATTATTTGATTTCCAATTCAAAGAAATATTGAAATAACAATATAACTCTTCTGTGTTGGAGATAAGAAAATTTTTTGTGGTATATATCAAAGAATTCAAATGTACAAAATCTATATTTGAGATACTCTATCAGATTGTTTATTAAATAATACCTTCTTCCAAGATTTTGTAGATTTAGTGATCCCACGTTATGGACGACTGATGAGAGGTTAATGATACGACTATAAAATTCATCTGTGCCAGAATTCTTTAAGATGTCCATGAGAGACTGTGTAAGGTATAGGTGTCCTAAATAATTTATTTGGAAATGGCTTTCTAGACTATCAGTAGTCTCTTGATATGGTGCAAACATTACACCAGCTACAATTTAAAACAAAACAAAATTTTATGTTCCCCTCTCAAATCTTGCTATAAGGAAACTGAACTTGAAAAGTATAACTTCATAAACTTTTAGAGAAAGTGAATATCAACTTTTTTCCCACTGTATTCCTTTGAAGTACATTGAACCCGATTTCATGACCTGCTCTGATACTTAAGGGTAGCTTTCAAATAAATGTTATCCTTCTTGACATGTGGAGGTTTCTACATCAGTCATGTAGTACAGAGTGTATAATCTTGAGGATTTAGGATTAATTTGAATTAAAACAATTAAAAATCAGCTGTAATTTCTATTGAAAATGAATAGTAAGTATAAATTGTAAATGGAGATTTTGCTTCCATACATAAAAAAAATCATCAATAAATGTTTTTCTATATTTAATAGACAAATGCTTTCATAAAGATATAATATGCAAGAATTCATAAAAATGGAAAACAACATTTAGTATTAGACTTTTAACGGTTTCGTCCCTTATTTATACTTACCATTATTTACTAGTATATGAATGTTGGAGCATCTTGCCTTTACATTTTCAACAAAGTCCTGTATGGATTTAAAGGAGGCCAGATTTAAATGCATAAAGTCCACTGAAACAGACATAAGGCAAGTTTGTGAAATTGACAAAGCTTCTTTCCTTTGCTGATATTTTTTTTTCAGTTTCTTATTCCTAGAAATTTATAAATTTTTCTTGTAAAAATTGTCAGTCTTTGGTCTCAATTTTTTTTTATTTAAAAATACAGCATTTTTAGCCAGAATTATTACATTTCTTTAAATTTCTCCTCCTCACAAATTCATTAGTTAGATGCAAGCTAAGGAGAGTTGCTTTACAATATATTGCAGAGTATTTTTATTCTCACTTGCATGTATGTACAAATAATTTTGTGAACATGGCAAAAGATGTATTCAAAATGTTTTTTTTTTAAATGTCAAGATTAATCTTCATTTGGATATGGCAAATTGCAAATTAAATTATAAAATTGTATCACAATAAAAAAAATTTACATGAAATCTTACATGTGAGCATTAAAACCATGTGTAATCATCACACAGACATTCTGCAATTTGTATGATTCTAAAAATTTACCTTTTGCATTAGGAAATTCTTCTCTAATTTTCTTTATAGCCTCTTTCCCTTTCTCAATGTTGTGACCACCTTGAAATAAAATAAAAATTTACTTGCTTCAAGATTTCAAGACCTGTTCTATTGAAATTTATTTAGAATTTGAACTTCAAACTGCATTTGCATCAATTATATTTACAAATACAATGGTTTTAACATACTAGTCTTCAACTACATGTATCTTTTGAAAATTTGAAAACATTTTCTAACCCATGATCACATGGACATTTTTGGAGACCAGACCCAGTGAGACATGAAACCCTATACCACTTGTACCGCCGGTCACTATTGCAATTTTTCCAGTTCTCAAGTGCAACTCTGAAAGAAGAAAAAACACATATTAAGATATACAGTTGTACACAAAAAATAAAATATAAAAAAAATTTTAAAAATACTTTAGAAAAAAAATCACACTCTCATATCTTATCAATGATTGTTAATCTGGAACAAGAAGGATTTTGTTAAGTATAGATCATGAATCTATAGTATCTGACTATACAGGTCCATGTCAGAATAGGCATGGGCACTGGAAGTTAATGTAAATATATAGTATGTGCATGTATAAAAAAAAGAAGGGTCTTTTTTTTATACATGCACAAACTATATATTTACATTAACTTCCAGTGCCAGTGAGAATAGGTGTCATATGATATCACCATATTACAGTTTGTTGAATATGAAAGGAATGCCTTTTTATTTTTTACAATACATCAGGAGATTAAAAAGATACGGTTGATAAGTTAATTTACTGACAATTGAAAAATTGAGTCTCGAGATAAAAGGAAAGTCATGCAAAGTTCGAATTTCCTTCATTTGTACAGACACTTTAACCTTTGTCCTTATTAACATTTCTTTAACATGTAAGAAATTACCTGGAATTTTGTGTCTCTGTAGTACCTGACGCACCAAGGCCACAAAACCGAAAACATAAACCTTTAAAAACGACCAAATGATGTAACAAATTCCAATCAT